CAGGAAAACTGCTCCAGTCTAGCTTGAATTATTGGGATGGGCGAGTTGGGGTTTGGGTTGTTGGTTGGTTTTGGTTTTTTTTGGAGGTGTGGGTCAGCAGTTTTCAATTTCTGCAGGCTGCAGCGTGGCTTGGTCCGTGTTGTGTGCCTGGGATGCTCTGCTCGTGTGTCGGTGCTGTGGCATCACACTGTCAGAGCCCTCCTGGCCTGGCACGGTGGTTTTGGCAAAGCCTGGCCAGGCTTTCTGCGCCTCCGTGGGATGCTCCTGCTGCCTCAGCGCTTTGGAGCAAGGTCTCACCTCTTTGCATCCCCAGGCCATTGAACGCTGCTTGGTGGGACTTACTGTTTTAACCGAGTATGGATCAACTTAAGGCTGCCTCTTTGGGAGGGTGTGGGTTTACCTAAACTACTTTAAATTCCTAGCTTGGCTCCAGTCATGCAAGGTTCAGTGCAGACACATGTGGCTTTGCCTGTCATGGTGCTGCTTCTCTGCTAAAACACCTCAGGTGCCTTAGCACAGGGCGTTATTCCCTCGCTAGCTTTCTCTGTTAGGAGAGGGCACCCAAGCTTTCCTCTTGGCCTCGCAGACATCCCACTCTACGTCAAAGCAGAACAGCACCTCTGTGCCATGTGGTCCAGAGCCTTGTCTTGACCAGCCTTGCTCTGAACTAGGGTGCAAGGCTGAGATGGTTTGACAGCTCCTCTCTTCGGCTATCACCTTGTTGCTGTTGCGTGCTGCAGCATCCAAGCAGCCTCCTTCAGCGCAGGATTTCCAGGGTGGGAGCCTGCCTGCCCTCTCCTTTGCAGCCCAGTGCAGTGGGGTTGGCCGAGAGGCAATTAAAATGTTCTGCATCTCTTACTGCTCAAGGTCTTCAGGCTATGGACTTTTTGGAAGGCTTAGACCAGGTCTATAAAACCCAAGATTTTATGTCTCTCTATCTTTCCCGTAGAGGGACTTGTTCTTTTAACTGGCTCAATATCAATACACCCAGCGTGTAGAAAGTGGCTCAATTTCTTTGTCTCCTGACATCCTGAACCCAGAAGCAGATGGACGTTAACCAGCTCTGATGAGTTGGGAGAATCAAGCATTAATTTTTTATACGCCAGGACCACCTGAGTGACGGAAATCAATTATGGCTGCCCCTCCCCCTTCCATATTAATGTGGTGGCTCCGAGCAGAGACGGAGGAACCTGTTGAAATGAGAAACCCCTATTTCTTAGTGTGACCCCCTAGATAATTAGGGTTAAATTGATATGCTATCGCACTGGTGACACATTTTATCTGCCTCTGTTTGTACAAGAGGATACAATAGTGGAGGAAGGACCAATTTGTGCCCTGCTCTAGCTAACCAGACTGAGATAAAAGGTGTCACTAGTACGATAACGTTCTTGCCTCATGCTCCTTTATTGTTGCTCAATTTGCCTTTTTTTTTTTTTTTTAATCCTGTTCTTTTTCTTTCAATACCCTTGGTCATATTTTAACTCCATGCCATCGCATAATGACGCCCTGCTAAATGTGTGTGGAGATAGGCAACTCTGGCTGACAGCCTTCCCTGATAACCGAATTCCAGCCCATCCATCACTAGACTGCTCTCCTTAACTTAAGGAAAGTGATAACTAAAGCAAGGCCGTTTATCACCGCCGAGCTGTGCGCTTCTTGCCGCCTTGGAGAGAGCCAGCTTCAATGGGAGAAAGGCAGCCATGTCACCTCGCCTCCCATTTGCATCCCGTTCATCTCCAGGCCCCATTTACCCTGCGGAGTGGAGGAGCGGGGCTGGATGGAAATCAGAGCCTGGGGCAATGAAGCTCTCTGAAAATGGTGCAGAGCTGCCACTGCTGACCACGCTCCAAGGAGGACTTGGACTCGCTTGGTTGGCAGAGGAGACCGTGATACCTGCTGTCACTTGCTCTTCTGTCCCACGGGGACCTGTGTTTTGGGAGCGGGCAGAGTCTGTGCGCTCCCATCTCTGCTTCTGGGAGGACAGGCTTTACCAGAGCTGCACTGGAGGCTGGGAAGATCCCATGGCCACCTTCCAAGTTTCTCTGTATCACGTGCAGTCCAACCTGAAGCCAGGGAGCGTTGCGTAACCCCGACTAGACCAGACCCACAGGACAATCCTTTCCTAAAGGCAAGCGTATTGAGTGGCTGTATCCCTGCTGTCTACTCCTGCTCAGGGAGCAGACTCATGCTTTGGTTGGTACTGCTGACAGCCCACCCAGGTTATAGCATGAGCGTAGGTCTTGTAGGGCTTGAAAAACTTGGTGAAGTCTCTCTGGTGCTGACATGAATGAGGGGAGCAGAAGCACAGAGGGGGAGGGGGAATGTCCTTAGGTCACAGAGCTTCACAGGCAGTTTCTGGGGTTGTTACTTGTTTGCAAAAATGGGTCATTTATTTAGTTGACATATTTATTTGGAGCATTTATTTTCTCCAATTAAAGACCACTGTCCAGCGCCCAGGGCATACTGCCATCAGTCTCGGGGTGGAAGCAGAACCAGGCTGTCCAGTTTGCTGGGCCTTTCGGTCCCACAGGGATGGAAACGCTTTAGATGTCATTCATTGCACTGGGTGGTTAGCTGTCAATTCCTGTGGCTAACAGGAACGATGCTGTACTCTCTTCTTCGGGGCCCTATCCAAATGTTAAGCCAGATGATAATTATTCCTCTAACTGGAGCTAGGCTGAGACCTGTATTAATGAAAACCTCTTGGTTTGGGAGGAGAAACCCAGCTTTTAGTAACATATCTCTTGCAAACCACTGTCATCATCTTCTCTAGCTAAATGTGAGCAGTGTAAGGAGAGGTTAAGCTGATGATGTGTCTGTATTAGAGTGGTCGTTTGTTTTAAATGGTTCCTTTTCTTGTGATCTTTTTCTTATTTGGACACCAACAGAAAGCAGCTTTCCTGGAGGAAGAGCTTTCTTAGTGTGCTGGTTGGGGCTGGTGGGGTCTGTTCAACTATGGGATGTCATGGATATATGTATAATGGCTGTAAAATGCATGGGCCAGGCTGCTATTTATGTGACGGCTATGCAGTTGTGAGGAGTGACTCCAGGTGGTTTATTTCAGCGTGATGGTGCTAGCATCAGATGAGCCGTGCCCAGAGATGAGGCCGTGCTGTCAAGTCACATTGCTTACCCTGCAAATTGCCGTAGCCCTGCTGCTTGCAAGCTCATGCTTTTGACAGGCTTCCTACTTCCAAAGAGGTTCCTCTGGTCCTCTTTATTCAAATGTGTTTGTATGACTTAAATTAATGCTCTTAAACAATGACATGTACATCTTTTCAGGACGAGGCATTTGGTTTTGGCACAGAGAGTCTTTTCCTTTCTTAGCCTAAGCAGGGCTCACAAAGCCAGTACACTGCTGTGTGTGCTGGCTCCATTGGCCACGTGTTCCCAGGAGAATCCCCTGGAAATGTTTGCCAGCTTCCTTCCTTTTCTTCCCATAGACCAAACCCCTCTGGTACTGCACTACCTTGAGTCTCACATTATCCACAAGTGCCTTACTGTGTCCTTCCTTCATCTCCTTATTGGGAAACTGCTTGTGGGGCTGAAGCGACACTGCCCTGTTCACCAGAGGGTTTGGAGCTGCGCTGAGCACTCAGGTGCTGCACGAGGTGCTGGTGGTGCGCCCCGGCTCAAGGCGGTGTATCTAGCTCATATCCACATCTGACCAGAGCTTGTTCCTGAATTTCAGCCTTGAGTCTGAAGTCTGGATTATTCACGCTTTCCCCTATGGAGAGTGGAAGAAGACTTTGCTGTGGTCATGGTCTGTTTTGGGATGTTTCAGCAGCTGATGCTGGCACTCGCAGCTCTTCCCTTTTCCCCTACAACCTCCCTGACAGCCCCCAGATGCCTGAGGAAGTTGTGAGAATCCCCATCCCCCTCTGTTTGCAAAAGCTGATTTCTGGGGTTGTGGCTTTTAACATGCACAAACGGGTCTAATTTAGTCATTTATTTAGTTGACATATTTATTTGGGATGTTCCTTTGCTTCAGTTAAAGATCCTGTGACCAGTGCCCCAGGCATGCTCAGCAGTACGTGAATGAACAAGATCCATCAATTATTCTTGATCAGATCAAACCGGCCGGGGAAAACTCACATAACTCATCTCCCTGCACAGGCTTGACTGGAGCCGCACAGCTTTGCAACTCAGCCTTTCCCATCTGAGGGGCACGTCGTAGCTCCCCTGTGAACACACTGGGGTCGGCACCGTGTGAGAGAAACAGATTTCCAAATCCTGAGGTCCCGCTGTCCCTTCAGGAAATCCGCCTCCCTTACCGGTGCTGTTTTGTGAGCCCTGTTCTGGCAGCGTGCTGTAGGAAGGGAGAGGTTAAATACGTGTGCTTGCAGCTCTGGCTGCTGGTGCTGAAACCTGTAGTGAGACAGTGTGCAGCACCTTGCATCTTCAGCGTTGTGACTGCTCTCTTCTTCTGAGCACCCACTTGGAAAACAGCCTCTGCTTTCTTAGCCCTGAAAATGGTCCTGCAGCATTACTACACAAAACCCAAATGTATTGGTGCCTCCTTCCCTCCCTCATGTCTCATTCAGTGTTTTAACTGCAAAGGCCAAGTGGAAAAGCACCAGGGCATGACAGGTGCATTGTCAGTCCTTCTGTCTGCCCTGGAAGCCACTGGCTGAGCAGGGGGGTTCTGCAGAGATTTGGGATGAGTTCACTTAGCTAAGGACAGCCCGGATGCTCCAGTCGTGTTTGTGTGTTAGCCGTACGGAAAAGAGGTGCAGGCTGTGCTTGCACACAGCTCCTGTTCAAAATGTTCAGCCTGAAAGGTGTCAGCAGCCTGGATGTGGCTGGATGTATGTAAGTCTTCAGCCAAGCTGTGCTCTTGTGAGGTTTTTTTGGCAAGAGCTACAGTCCTTCTGACGTGCAGCATGTTACAGCAGACTTGAGGGTCTCTTCCATCTCCGAACGAAATGCACTTAAGAAAACAGAGTTTGTGTTGTCAGGACACTGATTGAATCAAACCTGCTCTCTCTTCTCTCTTACAGGTTACCAGGACAATGCCAGTACTTAGGGCTGCCGGTTGCTGATTACTTCAAACAGTGGATTAATCTGAAAAAGGTACTTTTGTGCAAACTGCCATGGTCCCTGTCTCCCTCTCTCCCCCCTCCCCTTGTCCTTCTCCTTTCCTCTTTAAGGAGGTGTCTAATAACTACTGCTGTTTTGCATTGAAATGAGTTATTTTCTCAGAAGCTGGGCTGAGCGAGTCCTCCAGCTCCCTATTGTATCTCCTCTAATAGAGTCTTACTGTACTTGATGGGATGTGTTCTGCAGCTGGGGAGAAATCCCATTGTGGCAGGCACAGTGCGGTGTCTCCGCATAATAGTGGGACACTGTGAGGCCCCTCTTCAGCAAAGGTTGTGTTGGCCCCAGCATTGCTGACTCTGTTTTGTTTTGCAGCCGTTTAAGGCTCCTAGGAGCTCATTTCCCTTCAGATCAAATTCTGCTTGATAAACGTGTGGAAATATTCCCAAACAAAAATCAGTATTTCCTCTTGTGCTGTGGGGAAGGGGAGCTGTCTCAGCAGCATGTCCACCTGAGAAACCAGTGGTCATTTTGCAAAGCAAAATATCTTGGACTTTACTGTCTGGTGCCTTGTGTTGCTCCACACCTTCTCTGGGTGGTTAAAGAGCAGCCTGGTGTGCATCCGCAGGGTCTCCTGGCACAGCTGCTCCATCTGCACAGAAAAATGTGGTGATGCCACAAGCCACAAATCAAAGTGGGAAGAAAAGAACAAGTATGATTACAAGCAGTAGCAGGATGATGGGGGAAGCTGGGGTCTGTGCCCAGGAGAAACTGGGGTGACCCTCCTGGTTAAACCTTTGGATGAGTAAGATTCCCTTTCCCTATCCACTTTAACATTTTATTTGGGTTTCTGCTCCTTTTCCTGATAATTAGGGGTCTCAGTAAGTGAAATTTGCTTGTAAACAGCTCATTGTACTTGTGGACTTTTCTTTTGTTCTTTTATTTATTTACTGTTTTAAATGGAAGCATGAGTGACAGGCTGAGTGGCCGCAGAAGGACAATTTGCATGATCTGTTCCGTCAAATAGGGTAGAACATGAACTTAACAAGGGATGCTGGCAGCACATTCCCGGCTGAACTTGTCAAAGGGTCTTGTATTTCCCTGCTGTCAGAGCAAATCTTTTGGCTGATTGCTGGTCCTTGGTAAATGAAATCTGAAAGCACATTGGGGCATTCTGCAGTTCAGTGACCATTAATGATCGCCATTTGAAGTTCACTAAACTTCCGGTGAATGGATAGCAGCTATATAACCAGCAGGTTGATGGCTGCAGAATAATAATATTTAAAAAAGAAAAAAAAAATCCCTGTGTTCTGTGATGTTCGCTAAGAAGTAGGTTGATCTAGCCACGCTCCTCCTCTGGGCCTCAGGATGAATGACTTCTGGCTCTTTCCCATGGCTCGAGGCTCCTGGATTTAGCGTGTTAGAAGCTGGGATTCATTGTAACGTGGACATCCAGGCAAGTGGCTGTTCTTCAGGATGGGCATTCATGTACTGGGTTTCAGCAAGTACTGTGATACTAAGTTGAGGGCTGGTGAGCATCCGTGAAGTACCAAGCAGAGAGCTAAAGGCAGGAGGAGGAGGAGTGAAGGTGTTGCAGGGAAGTGTTCCCCTGCCCAGCTCTCCGAAGGGGTCGCAGGCTGTGCATGTAGGATGGGGGCACATGGGTTGGAGTTGAACCCCTCTGCGGATGTGTTACTCAGAAAGTAAGGCTCCAATCTCCTTCAGATCATGTGGGGAGAGGATGTGCGGGAGAAATTTTCATCTTCCTGCAACCCCTCTAATCCCTTAAACATCTGAAGTTTTTCTGACTCTTTAATATCTGATGCCCTGCGATACAGGGTCGTTCCAGGGTCCCTGCACCCCTCTGGGAAGTGACCCAGGTTGAAGAGGCAAGCAGGACCTCTCCTGGCCTGTGGCTAAAGAGCTGCCCTCCCTGGGGTTTGCTCTTACCCCGGGATGAGAATCTTTCCATGCTACTCACTGCCCTGCTCTCTGGGGGTGCTTGTGGGGGAACCACCTGTGTGTTGTCACGAGAGAGGATTTCCAGCCTAGATTAGTAATTCTGGCCAAGCAGCAGGACCCAGTGGGACCTCAGTCTCTTTTGACTGAGCTCCCAGTGTGAGACAGATAAGGTTGGACAGGTATCTAGCCCTCCTGCTCTTCCCTGCATAGCTCAGGTGGCCCCTTTTCCCCTCCCTCTGGCATGTTCCTGACTTAGAAATACCTCCTAGGCTGAGTCTGCCTCTGATCTGATCCATGAAGTGAAGGTGTTGGGGAAGGGGTGGTGTGAAACTGCTAATTTCTAGGTCATGGATAATGCAGAGACTTGGATGTTTCAAATGTTGAGAAAACAGTTCATGTGAGTGTAAATGGTATATGTGACTGAGCAGTTTCCTGCAGGATGGCCCCACCTGCATCTGCTGTCTGTCCTTTGGGTCTCTGCCTGTGACCACTGATACCAAGAGGACACTACTGAGTTAGGGAACTGCTGCTGCAAACACAAGGCAATGCAAAAGAGTGGGACTATGTACAGAAAGGTGGGTGCATGGGCCAGACATGTTTGTGTACCTGTGTGTAGTGCGGTAGCAACAAAACGTGTTCCGGGTTCCCTCTGCCTATGCACACAAGGCTTCAGCTCCTCTTTGTCCTCATTCTCCAATAAACTCCTTTGCTTGTCACTTCTGTGCTGAAGGAGCAGTTGAGGTGAGCACCCTGTGCCTCCAGGCCTCTTTCCGAGTATCCAAGACTTGCCTCTCGGGCAAGCTGCAGATGGGAATCAGCCCCCGCTAGCTGCCACGCTTGTGTTGCCCAAGGAAACCTTTTTGGATTGATCTGACCGTGGAGGTGGTGGTGAGCTCCACACCTGACTGCTGCGATGGTGGCCACAGTGTCTTGGGATCTGTGAAAAAGCCTTCTATGGAGGACAAAAGTAAAAAAGCTGCCTGTGCACTTGACCGCGTTTGCTGAAGTTTTACCTTGCCCTATGCCCCCCCAGCCTGCTAATGCATCCCTTCCGTCAAGCCTGATCGGTGTTTGCTGACATTTTTAATGTCACTGAGCGATCTTGTATCTCTGGTGAACTGTCAGTGTAGAGCTGACTCGGGGCAGAGAGTTTATCATGTTCTTCACTTCGATTAGCTCAGCCTTGTGGGAGGGCAGCAGAAAGCAGAGGAGGCTTTCTTTGAATGCTGCAACATTTCAGATATCCCCCTAAACCATCTTGATAGAGAGCCACCATCCTGTCTGCCAGTTCTCCTTATATGCCTGTCGATCCACAGAGGCCCTGTGGGTTAGGACGGAGGTGCAGAACCTGAGCTCCGTCGTTGGAGCCAGATGCTCGGGATGTAAATAGCAGAGAGTGCTTCATGTCAGGAGTGAGGGGCACCAGTGGAGAAATACGTGCAGAAAGCAGGAGGTTGTGGGTCAAGATTTATGTGAAAAGGAAAGCTGCTGCAGTTAACAAGCTGCAACCAAGCTGCTGCCCCAAGAGTATCTTCAGGTAGCCTGGATAAATTCATTAGTGTTTATTCTAACACAAGGATCAGCTCTTGTTTGTGCTCCCTTTGCTCTTTCAGGAGCTTCTGTGGTTTATCGTTCCAGGTCCCGCTTGAGTTAGCGACGTGGTTGGTCCCGTGATGGATCCTCACCCTGCGGGGATGGAGCCAGCGCTGTGTTAGGCTGAGGACACAGTGCCTGCGATTGTAGGGTGGCCGGGAGCTTGGGAATGGGAAACCCGGCGGGCAGCAGGAGTGCCAGCACTGCTGGGTTTGGGAGCATGTCACAAAGGGGAGAGTGATTTGATGGAGGGAGGAGGTGGAAGAAGGGTGGTGAAGCTAGATTTTCTTACAATGAGCTTGTGCAAGAAAAACATGGGATGATGAAAAAACAAGGATGATGAAGGTGTCAAAACGGCAAAGGTCTAACCCAGATCCTCTCCATGCCAGAGGCCAGTAACTGATGCTTGCAGGGGTGGCAAGGAGAGCATGGTTCGAGTCAGCTTTCTCTGGTTCCCACGGTCTCTTCAAGGACTGTGATTTGGCAGCTGCCCCTGGACCAATGTGTCTAGCACCCACTGTTTTTACCACGTCTGTCTACCAGGATATTGTACGCCCTTTTCTGAATCTGCTCGTGCTTTCGGTTCCACAGCATCCTGCAGCAATGAGTTTTGCTATTTAATTATGCATTAATTATACTCTGTTTATTCATATGTTGTGCAAAAGTGCATGTTCTTTTGTTTCTTTTAAATCTACTGTAGGATCATTTTCTTGGGCCTAGGTCTTGCATTGTGTGAAAGAGCAAATAAGTGTTTCCAGTTCTTCTCCCTTGTGTTACTCCTGACTTAAGACTTCTGCCATGCTCTTGCTTAGTTGTCTCTCTTCCAGGGCAGCATAACTTCTCGGAGGGCTGGCGCAAAGGCACTCGCAGGCTCTGTGACTCTGGAACTGGGTTGTGGAAGCTGTTTTTAACACTGTATACGCTATCCTGATCTTCCATTTCATCTCTGGACATTATGCAGTTAAAAGACAACAGAGGAATGTTTTATGATATTTTATTTAGTTCTTAGAAAAGGCAATCTTCATAGCTATCACAGAGCTGCCCTTTTCTCAGGACAGCTGTCCTGGCGTGTTTGACCATCTTTGATTTGTGTTCACAGAGGGCAGCATGACTTTAGATACAATAATAGCGGTTGCTTTAGAAGTGACAGAAAACTGGTCCTGGTTTGACATCCTCCTGAAGTTTGGGAGAGTTTGTATGAAAGGCAAGGGCTGAATGATGTATGTAGATGAATGCAACTTTCCTTCTCTGGGCATCACGAAGCAGAGTTGATGGAGCCTTGGGGAGCACAGTGTGGCCGTGCTGGGGTGCCGTGGCTGTGTGCAGAGCTGGCCTTTTCCAGGCCCAGCCTTTATTGATCTGTAGATACTCGTAGTTGGAAGCAAACTGTTAATACACATACACAAATGTTTTAAGGTCACCTACTCACACTGTGAAATCTGACAGAGGAAGCATGTAAGAGGATGTTTTTGTTAATATTC